TGTAATGATATGCTATTTAAGCTATCATACATTATGTAAAATAAAATATTATAAGTCAAACAATTAACAACGGAAATTATAGTTAAACATTTACATCCGATGCCATTCTTTTTTCTTATCAAATAACATATATTTTAGTGCGATATTTACTCATCGTAAGGAGATAATACTTAAGCTATCATATATAATTAAAATAAATTATATAGTCAATATTGTAAAATAATTATATTAATTTGTAGCCATTAATTATTAGATTAAGTTGTTAGTATTAACCAAATTAAGATAATACATTTACACACGCACACACACACAGATCTCCAGTTATAAGGAGGCCGGACACTTCTAATCACACACAGTGTATGTATTGTTCCCGTTGCTTTTGGACAGATGATCACAAGCGAGTGTAAAAGACTACGCAGAGATTCTTACAAAAGCACGGGAACCTAGAACAGTGTTTTATATTTTTAAAAAAAAATTAATAAAAAAGAAACAGTTGTTATATTAAAAATCTTTTTATTTACTACGATCACCTATATCAAATTCAATAGATCAATTTGCCGCCTGAAGAAGAAAGGTAAACAAATTTATAATTAATTTATACGTGTGAATCGAATTTACATAACTAGGCACCTCCCGCCTTATTTTTGAATTACTACAATTGTTCAACGGAAAACCATTCCGATGAACAATAACAAAATAATCGTGCCCTCACTTTTAGATTCTGAGCCGAATGGCGAAAATGATCAATTGCTTTCCCGTTAATAGAAAAAAAAGTACAATACAGACCGCCACTGTTTTAATTCTAATATTTAAGTCCAAATTTCGAAATGTTATTCGTTAAAAACGCACGAAAAATTGTAGTTGGCTATGCAAATTAATAATTTGTAATTTAATTTAGAAAAATACGGATATAATTCACACGATGGGTGAAATGCTGTTGTTGGTCAAGAAGATAGGATAAAGAGGGGAATTTAATTGATATCTGTTGCAACAATTAATCATCAGTGGCGAAAAATGGTTTTGAGCGGAGTTCGATTATATACATGATTTAAAAGGCCGTAATATTTACAACTTTCGACAAATTCTGATATTAAAATTATTTTTAAAAAAAATGACTTCATTAAACACAATTTTTTCTGGTTGACCATTAAATACAACTTATTATGTACCTAGTGTTAATTCTTACCGAATGAATTAGCAAAACTAAAATTTCTGTAAACAGCTCAATATTGGCTAAAATGTTTTTACAATTTTTAGCACATTTAGAAAAGGCGAATAAAAGTTATGTGTCTTAACTTCAAGTTTTTACGGAAATTTTGAACTAAATTTCAACGAAAATACAAAATTGGAAATAATTAAGGCACTATTTTCATACATTTTTCCATTTTTTCTACGTTTTTATTATTAAGAAAACTGCTTAGACCTCTTTAACGTACTAACTAAATAAAATAAACTATTAGAAAAGGTGCTTCACTTGATACACGAGAGGGAAATTACCTCGTAGAATTTTTGTGAAAAATAAAACATCATTGTAATACCACTGTAAAATCATATAAATTTCTCGCTTCACTTAAAATCCTTTACTCAGAAACCTATAACTACACACAAAATTGTATTTTGTGCTCTCAACGAAATATCCTATTTTTTTTTTAACTCTAATATTTATTTTATGTTAATGGGGGTTTGACATTTGATTTTTACGAACTGAAAATCGTAATTTTAATTTTAATATGCCAATGACAATAATCTTTTCGAAAATTGGACTGTTCGCCGGTAAACAAATCTACTGCTTGAATATCATTAATATCAATTTTTTTGTACATTAATCAGTATATATTATATTTTATGAAAAAATACCAAAATAACGTAGGTCATTTTAATGTAGGAACAAATTGTGTTAAATTTGTTATTTTATGTATTTTTTTGGTAAAAACTTTAAACCATTATATTTGATGATTCGTTTCTCAGGTTATTGGTTTATGTCTGTAGAATTTGTTTTATTTTTTAGAAAAATAGGTAGTTTCATTGTGTATTTAAAATAGAAATTTTAGATAATAAAAAATAAATGTATATTTAAAAATAAAATAAATAAATGAATCAATGCGTTGCCTGGAGTATTATGATAAGTGTATTATACGACCGGTTTCGAATTAAAAATTCAACATCAGGTATATCACAGTCAAAATGTGAAACGTATTTATTTACTATAATATTTATTTTGTTTTTTTAGAAATTATAGGTTTTCATTGCGCATTGTCGTTTAAATTTAGAATGCATGAATAAATTAGCCGATACAATAATATAAGGGTATGGCTTTTTCGTTTTAATAAATAATATACAAGTGTTTACATGAATAAATAATATTTTTTTTTTAAATATCCGGATTTTTAAAACCACAGCGAGTTCTAAAAACATCATCTTTGTCGATTATACAATTATATCCATAAGAAATCAATAACATACAATGAGTTAAGCGTGTATTATTTAAATAAACATTGAATATAGGACGTAGATGTTTTATTAATTTTGGTTTTTGTCGAATTTTCCCCGAAAATAAAGACAATTTCACTGCATTGTGTCTGATGTTATAATTTTTCTTTTCCCCGTTATTTTTGTACACTTATAGTGATTCCTAATGGACTCAATGGGTTCAAACTCGAGACTTATAATTTATTTTATTTATAAACAGATTGAAGTGATACAGTTTCAGGTGTATTTCAATACATAATAATGTACCTACAAAATATAAATCACCATGTTTTTTCGAGAACAATTTTAACATTTTTAAGCGTTGAACATCCCTAGAGACCCCCTAAAATAACTCTGGTGGGATGCAACATTTCATATGCATAGCGTTAGTACTAAGGATGTGCTTTTAAGAGTTTAAACTTTCAACTTCCAACCTTAACATTTTTACGCTCAAATTTTTTTTTTTTAGTTTTTTTGGAAATAGTGTAAATTGTAGTTTTATATTAAATTAGGTGTATTATTTGGTAATTTATTATAAGAATGTTAATTCTATAATACTATTTAGGGACTTTATTCGACTCGTATGGCAGAGATCTGCAGCTCATGTGTGTTTTTGTAATTTTGTAAGATTTAATACCTTCAGAATCAATTTATAAATAACAATTAATAGATGGTAGAACATTATGAATAATATTTTGAAAATTTAAAATTCCAAATTATTAATGAACAATTGCATTTTTAGGTGTACCTTGAATACATTATACTGTATGATTTATGAATATACAAACTGTAGAGCTGTTCATTCCAGTGAAATCTTGTAGAATAATGTTGTGTTACACAAATTATAAAAGCTTTTAATGATATTTTATTATTATTATTATTTTTTAATAACTATTTACTAAATAACATTTTCAGCGTAAAACCTAAAACAATTTTAAATATCTACCTAAGTACTAATACTTTATACGAGGTATAAATAATTATAATATCTCGAAGTTAATGTAGAAATGTTTACAATTTTAAAGTTTCATCGCGAACGGTTAAACTATTATTGTGTTTTCATATATTTTGTATAATACCGCATTCTATATTGGACTGTTTTAAAAGCCGATAAATTACGTTTTTAAACTTTCTATTTAAAACGCTAAAACTCTTAAATTTACTATATAGTGGTGTTATATTATTACACTTGATGTCTATGATTTAACTTACTGACGCATTATTAAATAAGAAGAAATATGTTTAATCCTTATAATAATATCTCGAGCTACATACGAACGTTACACCCGCATTTAGATTCTGTCTCGGTTCACTATATAACGGGCAAAATGCCGAAATTACATTAAGTAGAACATTAATTGTCGCGTACGGGTTATTTTTAAATTGCCCGAATAACAAAATTTTTAGGTGATCATTTTATTTTCGAGAGTATTCAACGTCATCGCTGCCTTTCTAAAATATCGATAAAAAAAAATGTTACGGTAGTTTTTGAGTTTTTTTTTCAATAAGCTGTATCAGCTTCTAAAGAACCAAAACATTATATTTGTTACGGTTAATTTTGTAAGATCAGTTAATATCGTTATAACAATTACACTTTAACCTATTTTGTGCTGTTAATTTTAATGTTGGAGTGAATTGGCCTATTAACTAACTTAACGGTAAGCATGTTGTTTGTGTTTGTACATAGGTTTTTTCTCGATATTTTAATTTTTAATCCAGATTCGATGATATTCAAATTGTAATATTGCACATGTTTGTAACTCAATGAATATTTAAACACCGAGAAAAAAACCGACGTACAAAAACAGACAATGTTCTAACCTTTAAGTTTGATCATATGCTCATATATTCTAGTATTAAAACTAACTACACAAAATCGGTTTTTATAATCAAAAAGTATAAATATAAAGACATTAACCGTAACATATCCATAAAAAAAACTCGAAAATGTCAATTGCCTATTAGTATAGATCAAATATCTCTATAATGGTTTAAATTGTTTATTTCATATGGAAAATAAAAATATAATTATTGTGTAAACATTTCAGGTATGTACGATTATTAATAACGGAATCACAACAAATAAAAAGCTGATACTGTGGATGGGAGCGGCCACTGTTGTAGATGAGAAGTTGGGAAGGTAGGATACATAAGGTTTTTTCTTTTATATCTGTAAGCAACGATAAACCATTGTTTGACGAAAAATGATTCCGAGCTCAGTTCGGTAATACATACTTTGAAGTGCTGTATTTTTTTTTTACGATTTTCGTTTAAATTTGATTTCAAAACTCTTATTAAAAAAAAAAGTCTTCCGTTGATTTTAGACATTTTACCACGTCTGGGTAAGTCCAATATAAGTATTATTACCAAGTTTCAAGTCTATGCGTGTATTTATAACCGGATTACAGCAAAAAAGCTTCCAAAAAATAAAATTCCTTAAAAGCTCAAAAGTTTTAGCAATGATACCGTAAGAAAGTAAATCAAAAGGCAACGAAAAAGGTATTTTATGATTTTTCGATTAAATCATTTATTCTGGTAGTAACTTCGTCCGTGTTTTTATAAAATAATAAAAGTTTGAAATTTTTCCTTGCATTTGTGTCAGTTTTTCCCAGGTCTTTTTTAAACTAACTCTTAAGAAAATCGAAAAACAACCACCATATTTACCGACTAGATAAAATTTTCTTTCCGGAATGATGCTACACTCAAACATCGAATAAAAATGTCTAGAAGAAACGCCGTTTATAGGAAAAAAAAAAAAACAAAATACATATTATTGTAAAACTGCCTACGCATTCTTTTTTTATTAAAAGTCTGAAAATCTTTGATTTTTACAAAAGGACAGAATATTTTAGAAAACTGTATCACCGATTACTTTTAAACTTCCGTTATTGTTGATTGGTTGCCGTTATCGCTTTGACTGCGCTTCACCCTGATCCGCGTTTTTGGTCTTCGCTGTTTTCCACAATGCTCGTGACGTAAAGGGATTTTT